AGGTGGCCAAAATAATAAATATACGTCACTGACTAATACCGGCTGACTTAAAAAATTTTGTGGTTACACCAAGTACAGTGGAACTCGGATTCAACGAGGTCGCCGGGCCTGGCGTAAAACCTCGTTGAATCCGAATCTTCGTTATAGCAAACACGAGGTTTTGTGTAGATAATTAAAGGCACTGAGCAAGTAATATGTAACGGTAAGTCACAAGTAGTGCCTGAAATGCCTGCATTTTATGAGCTGTGTAAAAAAACAAAAAACCGATTCGTTCAAATGCACACACCTGTGTCATCTCCATTGTTTACCAAAAAGTTGTGTTGCTGTGTATAGCCTAGCATACAGCAACTTTTGATTCCATAGACCAGTGCACAATTTAATAGGTAGATCTACGTCAAGACTAGCTTATCATTGTAATAAAAATGATCAGTTGCCGAGGGGAAAAAAAGGCTGTGACTCGTTTGTATTTCTGCGACGTTCAACGCCCGGACCGCTAGTGCCTTCCCCGACATGCACACACAGCCACACGTGTGCAGGCCGCTCATCCGACCCCGACACACACCAGAGTAGACTCGTGCAAATACCAACAACGCCTGTGTTGGTATTACAGAAGACCGCTGATTGGTTGCATGCAATCGGCTAAATGAATAATGGTTCACGACGATACAGGTGCAATGGATGGTTTCCGGGAATAAATAAGGTTTGTTCTGGGAGGGCAGGGGCTGTTCACCCTGGAAGCGACCTCGTTGAATCCGGGCTCGCTGATTTAAGTGCTCGTTGAATCCGGGTTATTTTTTATTGATTTTAAAGAAGGAAAAAAACGGGGAATCTATCTCATCTTCTTGAATCCGAGTTCCACTGTAGATAACGATTTATCATATGATCGCTAGATCGTCCAGTAAATTGTACAATTTATCGTTATTATAATATAATAGTGTAACCGGGCCTTTAGATCTAGTTCCTGAGTGTAAGTTACTTGTTCCTTGTTTTAATTTTTTAAGAAGGTAGGCCGAATTGTGACAGAGTGATGCTGTGGTCACAATTAATGTGGCGTTAATTGCGAAAGAGTGAGTGTATCATGTGACAAAAAAAAAGAATTTAAAAAGAAAAACGGTAAATTTTTACTTTCACTCCCGCACACTGCTTCAGGGGTCAAACTGCAATACTGTTTGCTGCAGATCACATAATGCCACTAAGACTGTTGCAAATCAATTATTTTCAAGAAATGTTCAAATCTTAACGTATTGTAAAATATCAAATTATACAGGGGGGCCCCCTGTAACCCCCAAGATTTTCTTTTACCCCAGTGGGGCAGGCCCCCTGGAACCCTCTGATAGGTCCAAAGCATGTGTATCTCGATTTTATTTTTAAAGAACAATCAAATATTTAAAAAACTATTAATTTGCAACAGAAATGAAGTTGATTTTTGTTGTGTTAAGCGCATCAGTATTTAGTAGAAAATGGACGACTGGTGTGAGACGGGACGGAAAGTAAAAAAATACCAGAAAAACAAACAAATGCACACACACGCACTCACACACACAAACATATACACACACACACACATACACAAACAGGCACTCCTGTACAATTGCGGTCCCATATGCACTAAGTCACACTAAGTGCCCCTGTAGTATGTTTCTTATTTAGATCTAAACTGAATTAAAATTATATTTCTAAAATGATCTAGATTTATATCTCTAGAGACACAGATAGATTATCTAGGCCATCTAGAATCTAGATCTAAAGATCTCTCTAGGTGTAGATGATCTAGATCTAGACTCACTTCCACAATGACCGTCATGTAAACAGACGGGACCGCAACTGTACTGCCCAGACACATACACTCACACATCCATAGACACAGGCACACACACACTAACGCACACCGCGCGTGCTTGTGGCCTAATGCATACACCAAACTGACAGACAAACAATGACAGTTGCAGCTCTTTTCTTGTTGTCACCGTTGTTGCACCTAGTGGTTTTTGTTGCTGTTGTATGATGATGATGTTTTGTTGTAGCCTAATTATTTATTTGTTGCCTCGATATTTTGGAAATGGTAGATGATGTTAATCATCAATGCAAAAGAGCTCCGTGTTCTCTTTGTCATAATTAACGCTGCGTTAGTTGTCACAGTCACTGTCACAATTAACACTACCTAACCTTTAAAGAAATCTTGTTTGCAGTGGCTTGAGTCCTACAGAAAATGGGGATCCAAGGTCTCCTCCCCTTCCTGAAGACCATTCATGAAGAAGTGAATATTGCCCAGTTCTCTGGCTGTACAGTTGCCATTGATGCATACTGCTGGTTGCACAAAGGAGCTTTTTCATGTGCAGAAAAACTTGCGCTGGGGGAGAAAACAGATCAGTAAGTAATGTTTATTTTTTCACAGTGGCTACGTGACACGTAGTTGGCAGGCTATATTCATGGCGCCGTAAATGCAGTTTGCAGGCGCAGTTGAGGTTTCGTTCACGGCACCAAAGCTTCGTTTAGGGGGAGCGTCCACTGCCGGTTTAAGTCAGCCAGTTTTAATCAGTGACGACAGTGACTTATATATTTTTAATGTTTTGGCCTGCTTCAAGTTCAAGTGTTCCATCCCATTAGATGAAGGAAAAGGAAACGGCCTTACAGAATTAAAGGCGGGATATGGAATGTGGAAAATTGGATACGGTACATGGGAAACAAGAGGTGACTCTCTTTCTTTCTGTCTGTCTGTCTGTCTGTCTGTCTGTCTCTCTCTCTCTCTCTCTCTCTCTCTCTCTCTCTCTCTCTCTCTCTCTCTCCCATTTCTCTTCCTTCTCTCTGGTTTTCTCTATCTCTGTCTGTCTCTCCCTCCCTCTTTCTCTCCCCCCACCTTCTCTCTCTCTCTCACACACACACTGCCCGAAGACAAAATTGCGCGCTTTCAACTCGAGAGCGCTGGAACGTTTGTTTACACTCGTATATCACAGGCCGTCATGCGCTAACACAAGGTGGCACCCAAGTTTCGCCCAGACGTGAGATAGGGCAATTGAAAAAACATCTATCTTGGTAGGCATATATGCATTTTTGTCATATCCTAATGCGTTTTTGCATAATTGAGAGTTCGTCGTTTTCCCTTACACTGGCGAGATATGAACCAGAGCTCAGTGTAAGGGAAAACGACGAATGGTCAATCGGTCAAGGATGGCTGCTTCATTTTCCTTCATCTCATGGGATGGAACACTTGAAGCTGGCCAAAATAATAAATATACGTCACTGACTAATACCGGCTGACTTAAAAACCGGCAGTGGACGCTCCCCCAAAACGAAGCTTTAGTGCTGTGAACGTAGCCTGCCAACTACCTACGTTCACTGCGCCGTGAACGTAGCCACTGCATTAATTTTTTTGCACGAAATTGTATTCTTTGTTGCAGTCACAAGAACAATATACAGTGGAAACCTGATGTAACAGGGATGGTGGGAGTTGAGAAAATGTCCTGTTATATCCATCCGATCCCTGTTAAATTAGAAATGCAAGGAAAGTAAGTATTTGTGGACTAATCGAGCTGTACTTATTCATGGGTAGTTTCCCTTGCCAAAAGTACCCACGAACATGGGTTTTGGCACCAACTTTCTCTTTGCTTCCTTAAACCACATCAGAAGAGCTTGGTCCACAGCATCTGCATCGGGTAGTCTCATCTTCTTTCGATCAAGAGCAAACTTTCCATTGGACTCCAATTTGGAGTATGCTGCCACTATCTTCTCTCTATCCTTGATAATGGTGTGAATCCAGCCTTGTGGAATGTCGAACTGACGACAAATCTCTGCCAGTGGAGCTTGCTTTTTGTCAACAGCCTGGATTATTTTGTTGTTGTTGTTTTGTCAATTGAAAGGTATTTTCTCTTGCGCTTGACATCGTTAGTGACACATTACGCGTGCGTGTTGCTAGGTTTTGGGCTAGATCAAGGTCTGCAGCACACCGCAGCCCTCTCTCGCTGCACATGCTGCGTATGCTTTTAGTAGCATGGCTTGCATGGGCTTGCTCCATCTCTCTCTCTCTCTTACTTTGTACACATTGTTAACGAGCCTTTGTTCCTGCTATAACCGGTTGGGCTACGATGAGGCCCTGTTACTGTTATTGCCGATAATTTTTAATAGAGGCAAAGAGTAGGGAAAAACGGGGATTTAAAAAATCCCTGTTATTACCGGGCCTGTTATATATGGTTTCCACTGTAAGTCTTGTAGCTCTGCTTCACCCTACTTTCTAAGGGAGGGAAAATATTCAAGTGAGGCTTGCTCATTTGTCTTATGACTACCATGACATTTTAATTATATATATTTTTTAATGACCAAAAATGATATTTAATTTATTAACAGTTGAACCTGCTAATGGGCCACCACTCCAAGTCCAAGACAATGACCTCTAACATCTGTGTTGTGTTTTCCATTAAATTATATTTTCATCCAAAACGTAGCTCTCTACCTGGCTCAACCTCTACCACTCATCTCCTCAACAATGGATGGCGGTCTTGAACAATTTTGACCATGTCATACTGTAATATTCTTAAAGGGTCCATTTGTATACTTGTACAGCTAATGATGGTCAGTTTTAGTGATGGCACTTTCGAAATCATTGGTTGTCATGTATCTTCTGCATCTCCTGGACTTTGTTGTGATTTTATTTATTTATACATGACATATGTATATAATAAATATAGATGTAAATAATTTATGAAAGATGTGAATGTTTTGTGAGCTCTGACACTAAAAGATTATCAGTTATAATTTTATTGGGTGGATTGAAAATGACCATGGTCTTTTTTATGGAAACATTAGTTCCTGATAAATTGTCTCTGAAAGACATTTTTGTATGTAGATCTCTTTAGTTAAATAGAATTACCGTACGATTTTAGGTGGTTCTGATATTTAAGCAGTAGGCTCTGTGAGGCGAGACACAGCTATGCGCTCTGAATTTGAAAAAAATGTGCAACAGTATCTTTTTACACAAGAGGAGTGCAAAAGTTCTGCTGTTCTTGGCTTGGCTTGATGCTCAACAGCGACAAACACACATCGAATTTCATGGCTCCATCATTTTCCAGTTAGTTGCCTGACTGGATTTGATTTGGCTGCAGCTGAAACATTTGAGTAGAACTTGCTATTGAAGGCAAGGGACAAATCAAATAAGACAAGTAGTTGTGTCTGAGTTACAAGTTATATATTATCATTTCAAGGAGAAGATTTTTTGAATTTCAGAATTTATGTTCCTTTGTGTATGAATGAATGAGCTTGATTTTGCAGTAATTTAGCTCATATAATTCTAATGTATGGTTTTCGTCTACATACTTTTTCTTCAGTCATGACGATACACCATTCCTTAAAAGAACTTCTTTTTTTCCCCCACTGTTTGTACTGTTGTCTCTAAATTGTTCTTGGACTGGCTTTTGAATTGAGTGTCATTTTGTAAGAGTATGAACATATTTTAGTTGGGCTTTGAGACTTCTCTAAGAATAGCTAAAAGCTACTGCTTTGAAAAAGTATGAGATTTTTATTTAAGCTATCCTTTGTGCTAATTTTTTTCATTTTCTTTTGTCTTTTCTCAGATATGTCTATTATTGCATGAAATATGTTGACTACATGCTGAAGCATAACCTCAAGCCAATACTTGTCTTTGATGGATGTCATCTCAAGTCCAAAGCTGGTGTTGAAAAATCCAGAAGAGAGTTTGTATCCCTAGTATTTTTCTATATTTTTGTCCCCAAATGTTTTACTCAAGGTGTAGTAGAAGAGCACCACCAGAAGATTTTTGAAACTATCTGTTCTTTCGGCTTGTCTGTCTTTCTTTTTTATTTCCCCACACTTATGCTGCTGGGGATGGCGTCTTTTCTCAGAATTTAGTTTTACTCCAGCTCATCTGATGACTAAAATCTAGTGGAAAACTGACACTGAAACCCAATAATGGTCTGATCTCGAAACGACTTGTACAGAGCCTTTGCTCCACAACCTTGGTCATTACTTTTTACTTTACTGTGGCCCCATAAGTTGTTAGTGAGGCTGTATGCATCGCTGCAATTAATTAACTGTGTTTCCTTGCGCTTTCTATGGTCTCAGAAATGTGCTACTTACTTGTGTTTGTGATATTATTCCAGTTTTTAAGATCAAGGAATTGAATCCAAAGCCAATTACTTTCTATTGAAGTGATTGATTTCTTCCGAGGGTCCATAAATTCTTCCAGTGGTACCACCGACCCCAAGACAATTAACCTGATTACTTCCTGTTAGTAATTAGTAGGCTTACATCTGTTGATTCTGACCCTTAGACAATTACTTGATTATTTCTGGCGAGTAGTGGTTACTTACGACAAGTCAAAGGTTAATCCCGGTGAGTCCAACACTTCAGGATTCAGGATTATAACCTCAGTCTCGGAACGTGGGAAGGCACCTTTCTTTTTTTTTTTTTCAAAAAGAAATTTTTCTTAAGTAATTGGTAACGGTTGGTTTACACAAAAGGGAATCAGAACTTTTCTTCTGTAACACTGATCGTGGGAATAGATTCCTCGCCCTGCTCTTATATTGACTCATAGCTTACTAGATTAGATTATGTGTTAAAAATCTTAGTTGATCTTTGCAGTATGATTTGTAAGGTGTGTTAAAAATCTTAGTTGATCTTTGCAGTATGATTTGTAAGGTGACGCAAAGCTCTTTTTTACTGAACCATGTATATCGTCCTTTCATGCTCGGTCCGACATTGAGGTCACCTTGTGTCCTTGAAAAAGGCACTTTACAAGAATTTTCACCATTGGCTCAGTCTTATTGGAGGTGGTTGTTAATTTCTGCCTCTTAAATAACCTTTCAGTGATTCAATGGGCTAAACCTACAATTTTGCACCTTTTTTTTTTTCTCGTAGACGGAGGGAAATTAATCGTAAGAAAGCAGCCCAGTTTCTTCGGGAAGGCCGCCGTGCTGAGGCAAAGGAATGCCTCCAGCGCTGCGTGGATATCAGCCCTCAGATGGCATTGGAGCTCATGAATGTAGGTTCCTTTTTTTGTTTATTTTTTACTGAAGCCCTTCCCTTTTTTTATGTGATTTATGACAGTATTCTCTGCTGTTGGGCTCTCGTGGTCTAGAGGTTAAAGTGTTTGCCTCTCATTCAATAGGTCCCGGGTTCGAATCCGGATAGTGGCGGAAAATTTTCTTCCTTATATAAATCGTTTTCTCCTTTCACATCATTTCCTGCTCTTTGACAATGTTCTGTCGTTTGCTTTGATCTTCACTTTCTGCCCCCACCCCCTCACCTCCTCTGGGCTCCTGACTCTTTCTGCAGCCTTTCTACTGCTACTCCTTGGATCCTTACTGCTGTCTTTCAGCCACACCCCTGACCTTATAGTAGGTAAGATCTACACCTTGCCTTCTTGGATATGGTAGAAAAATCTCGGTCCAGTGTGCAAGTTGCGCACGTTAAAGATCCCTTGGTGGTCCAAAATCGATAAGGGTAGGCTTTGGCTGCCACACGGGCAAAATTCAAAATTTCTTACCAAGTGAAAATGCTTGGTGTGTCCCACGTGCTCAAATGACTTATGCAGTTGTGAGCGCCATAAAGCACTTACCCAAAAAACCCACTCTCCCTCTCCCTCTCCCTCTCCCTCCCCCTCTCTCTCTCTCTCTCTCTCTCTCTCTCTCTCTCCGTCTCTCTCTCTCCGTCTCTCTCTCTCCCTCCCTCCCTCTCTCTCTCTCTCTCTCTCTCTCTCTCTCTCTCTCTCTCTCTCTCTCTCTCTCTCTCTCTCTCTCTCTCTCTCTCCCTCCCTCTCTCTCTCTCTCCCTCTCTCTCTCTCTCTCTCTCTCTCTCTCTCTCTCTCTCATATTTATATATATATCATCAGTTGCAGACATTTTAATTGTATTCCTCTTTTTATGTGGTGGAATTTCCCTGGGTTCCAGGCCTGCCGCCAAAAAGGAGTTGACTGCATCGTTGCTCCATATGAGGCTGATGCTCAGCTGGGTTACTTGAGTCGTAAAGGCATCGCTCAGATCATTGTGACGGAGGACTCAGACTTGCTGCTTTTTGGCTGTGAAAAAGTAAGTTTTATAGCACATCCATTTGACATGGACGATGTTGGGATTCTTTGTGGGGCTTTTTTTTTTCTTCAAGTGCGGGGAGGGGGAGGGGGGATCTTCTTTGCTAGATTTCACTAATTTCAGGTGCAATCGACTGTTGGTTCTTCAACCTGCGGTGCAACAGATTTTTTCGGATGTCATCGTTTTTCCTTCTTGGTGGCCCCCCTAGCTTTCAGGCAGCCACAGCTTTCAGCTCCACTTCTAATCCACTCTCAATTTTTTAAGTTTTAAAAAATTAAAAAATATTTGGGGGGGGGGGTATTTTTTAATTGTGATATAAAGACATATTGACACGTCATAATTTGGAATACATTGGTCTATTCTGTCAAAAGTTATTAGCCAAAAATCGTTTTCAAATGGATGGCCAATGGTGGCAGTAGTCGTGGTAGCAGGCATTATTTAGTCTAAACAGATGGTCATAATGTGCCGACATCTATTGTGTAATAGACAGGCTATTCACTGTTGCACACAGGAGATGTGTTTAATTCTTGAGTTGGGAAAGTTTTTTTAATGAGTGTCTTTGTCTGTTGGCAGTGATGCTGTACCTCCCACTGCCTGCTTGGCCCTGGCAGACAAGGCTAAGCAACATGCCTTCTAAATTGTGTAATGTGTGTGTGTGGGGGGGTAAGACTTTACAACTACAGTTACTGAAATTGTGGTGTTAACCTTATATGATTCACAACTGTTGTTATTACTCCAGCAGACCCAAGGTCACTCAGAAATGTTCTTGGCTTCCTGGGAAGCTAACAGTGAAAGCAGCTAATTAAGCACTCAGCCGTTTTCATTGTCTATAGACAGTTACCCATTCCCACTTGGAAGTGGGGAGAATTTGTAAAACGGCTTTCCCAAAGACACAATATCGGGATCTTAGTAGCTTCAGTTTGATAATCTTTCAGTTGCAAGCCCAACGTCTAAACAGTAGGCCACTGATGCCCATGTGTAGTATATATTTGTCTCCATTTTATGTCCTATGATGATAATAATGCTTTTATGGCCAATTGGGCCACTAGGTGGCAGAAAGTGCATGTTGACAGTTTGTGTAGAAGCGGATCACGAACAGCAAATTTTGCCAATTTCCATGACATACATCACAGAGCTAAAAATTATACATTTTTGTGATGCACCAGGTACATCATAAAGTAACAAAGAGGTTAGAATATTATAAATATGTGACTCAAAGAATCACGTCAATCTTTAATTTTGAAAGGGACCTAAAAAATTGATAAAAATGCTCACCATTCTAGCTAGTAAAAATTGGGCTCATGAAAGTTGAAGAAAACCTTTCATCACAAAGGGGCTGAGTGGACATTTCAAAATTGAAGATTGAGTTAATCACTTCGGCTTCTGTGACATAGATGTTCGTTCTTGATCCTTCTAAGTTTAGTTTGTGCTGGCTCTTTATTCCTATTTTTAAAGCAAACTGTTTCTATGTAGTGACCACAGAACATAGGAATTATTAATTTAAAACTAATTGAAAATGTTTGACTTGTTCTAGATTATATTCAAAATGGACTTCAATGGGAGAGGAGTTCTGATTCAGCAGAGTCGGCTGAATGAAGTGATGGACATTCAGACTGGATTCTACACTTTTGAGAAGTTTCGGTACATGTGCATCCTGTCAGGCTGTGATTATCTCCCCTCCCTTCATGGAATCGGGCTGGCGAAAGCTTGCAAAGTCTTCAAAATGGCACGGCAGGCTGACATTCGGCAGGTGAATATCCTTTTGTGTTAAGATTTTGTGCTCAGGGCTGTCAAATCTCAGGTGTGTCTGGGCCTTATGGTACAGGGATGCCAAATCTCCGGTTTTTCCATCTTTTTCCTCTTTTTTTTCATACACTTGCAAAGGGAAGGGGAATGGTAAGAGAAATGTTTTTGTTTGCTCATTAAAAGATTTTACAAGGTTCTTTTTAGGTGAGATGTGACGCTTTGCTCATTTTCAGTTGGTTTTTTGGGTTTTTTTTTTCAAAAATCATTTGGCATCTCTGATGGTAACTCCTGCCTCATTTCTTCTGTCTTCGGAAAAAACTGCTTATTGATTTTATTTTTAAGGTTGCTGTTGCTTTAATCCATCATTTTGTCTTGACAATGCTGCAACTAGATACAATATACTTGGTGTTGAATGTCATTATTCACGCTAGTCCAAAAAAAATTACAATTTAGCATTGTTGACTCCAGTGCATCTAACGAAACAACCAGAGGGGTTACAAAGTCCATTCTTTTTTTGAGTCTCAAGAGCAGAAATGCGTGCTTTGGGTGCACTAAATGAGAATTGCCATAAATACAAAGATACACCTAAAATTGTACGTTGAAAACTACCAAAAATTAAGTCAGCCCAGACAGAGCGACGACAGGGAGCTGACTGCCGGTGCGCCGTGCGATATGCATGAAACGTGTCATTGTGTAAGCTGTCGAAATTTTTTATTATTGTGAAGCATTTAGAGGCACCAGGGAGTGGACAGTAAAAAAATGATCTTTAATATTCTTCTTATTATTGTCATTGTCATTATAAGCACAACACAGAGCGTACCCTGCATCCAAGAACGGACTGGCGTGTGTGGTTTATGTAACTTTGCCATCGCGCAGAAGATGTGGGGTTGTCTTCTATGTGGGGTGGTTTTTATAAATCGAGTACCTCTGTCTATTTGCTAAGCAGTTGTGTTCCTCTCAGCCCTGGTTAGCTCTGACAGGTATGATTGTAATCTTCTTCCAAGAAGGTCTAAATTGTGTCCGGGAGGGAGGGGGGGGGGTGTTAAACATTTATCATAGCAAGTTTTATAAAAATTGGGTAACGGGGTTTGTTTAGTAAGAAGCTGTAGCACTATAGCTGACCTTCTCTAAGAAGCTGTAGCACTATAGCTGGCCTTCTCTAAGAAGCTGTAGCACTATAGCTGGCCTTCTCTAAGAAGCTGTAGCACTATAGCTGACCTTCTCTCATAGGTAACGTTTGTGTTTCATTCTATTCTTTTTGCGCTGTCATTCTTCTGTTTGCTGAGACAAAGTAGTTACTCATCTCTTTACATGTATTTTTTTCTTTCTCCCCAGGTTTTGAAAAAGCTGCCCATGTATCTAAAGATGAACCTGTGTGTGACAAATGAGTATGTGGAGGGATTTGTGCGTGCTGACAACACATTCCTGTATCAGCTGGTGTTTGATCCGATGACGCGTGAACTTTGCCCTCTGAACCCGTACCCTCCGGAGATTGACGAAAATGAGCTGGATTATGCTGGGCAGTATCCTTACACGTCTTATTCAGATCAAAACAAAATAGGATGGGGTGAATTTGGTAGTAGTCATTGGTGTCGGGAAATGAGCAACGTGAACCCTACAGGAACTACACGGCCACAGTCTTCCAGCCTCATAAAAATCCTTGTACCCTCCTATACTCAACATACATGGCCTCTTCTCAGGGTGGGCAGGCAGTCCACAGACACCCCAGTCCCCAATGCCAAGTAATTTTGGGGTAATATTTGGGTACTGCAGTAAAATGAGTTGTTCTTGATGCTCACTCACCAGTCTTATCATATATATGGTTATGTTGTTGAAATTTCAGAACGTGAAATGGCTTTAAGGTTAAAATTACTAATGGCAAATCCTAGATTTCTGAAATTGTCCAGATTTTTACCACCTTCTTGATACAAAATGTGTAAGACAATGTGATTGATAAATTTCTAGCCCTCTCGTGCGCATTTTCAGAGGTCCAAAAAAGTTCTTTCTTTCCTTCCCCCCTCTTTCTTTCTCCCTCTCCCCCCCCCCCCCCCCCCCCCTGTTTCTGCTGAGGTTTCTTGAATGTCTCTCATGCATGTCAAGGGTCTGGTACTGTAGCTTTTGTTTTATCAATACAATATCAGCTTAGGTGCATTGAATTTTTTACGCCTTAGATGCACTCTGTTGTTTATGTGTTAAGTGCCCTGAATTGAATGTGTGTTAGGTGCACTCAGTTGTTTTTATGTGTTAGGTGCACTCAGTTATTTACATGGAAGGTGCACTGAATTGTTTGTGTATTACGTGCACAGAATTGTGTGTGTATTCTCTCTGCCTCTTTCACCCTGGTAATGGATAAAGGCAGCCAAGTAGGACTCTCCACGTCTCTCTGTATCCCAGGTGGATCTCAACCTTCCTCTCTTCCTCCTCCCTCTGAGATTCCGCCTTGGACTTTTCCTTGTTGCATTGTAGGTTGGCTTCTTTAGAGTGTGCCCAGTCCACCGTCATGTTATTTTCTTGATCTGTTTGTTGTTGTTTAGTTCTCCTCTGTGGGTGGTTGGCGGGTGCTCTGGTGTGGTTTGTTTCTTTTTTCCTATCAAATGTCTTTCATCCTTATCTCCCGTCCTTTTTTGTGTTTGTTATTCTCTTGTAACACCTCTAATCTTCGGCACTTATATGACCTTATTGTGTTGCAAATGCCTTTAAACACTTACCAAAACATGAAACATAGCTCTCTTCCATAAGACGTCCAGTCCAGCCAGATTTTTCGTGACATTCCTCAGGCAACCATAAATGGAGGACTGCAGTTTTTGTTTTCTGTGTGTTTTGTTAGTTTTCTTGTTTTCGACACCCATACAACTTATACACTTTTTACATTTGTTAGCAATGCCCACCGAGCGCGTTTTGTTCTGCCGATTTTTGGCCCCCGCAGCGGGGGTGTTTTGTGGGACGCACTACCGCAAAAGTTGTTGTCTTCAACTCGCTCTCACGCCGCTTCTCGTGAATGGATATGAATGAAACTTGGCAGCCAATCAGAAAAGAGGTCAATCTCGTAGTATGCAGTTTGACAACATTGTACCCATCCTAGAAGCAGTCGAAAACGTTTGCGAAAGTGGTTGATGTGGTGCGCTTTGAAGATTTTTCGGAGCTGTGATTTGTCAAACTGACTAATATGTTGTACACCATTTTTCTTTATTCCCTTAAAATTTCAAGCTTCTGTGTTTAGCGGTTTTCGCGTAATCTTTAAAAATGTGGGTGTAACTAAGGGAAAAAGCGGCATTGCCATTTGCGCGACGACCTGCTGCTGGGAAATTTCCACCGAGTGACGTCATCAGCCATCGGTCGCTACAAACGAGGCCCCGCTTATGTGAACCGGAAAGGGGGGAAGGGTACTTGAAAACTAAACGGGGGCCTTGATAACTTGCGTTTTTGTTGCATTTTAGTCACAATACAATAGATCTCGTCATTTTTATTTGCTTGATCGCATGACAGAAGAATAGAAACAGAAAAGCAAACATCTTGAGAAGTGGTATGGCATTGTGTTTGCGTTATGAAAGCCTATTCCCACCTCTTGGGAAAGCACACACTTGGACTCGTCCTGTATGCTCTGTTTGGAAAAGTGAGGCATTAAGATTGTTATTAAAGAGTATGGTACTTATTTAGTCCAGTCTGGGAAGATAGTCCCGTTTATACATTGTTATCGTTCACGCGTGAGTGCGTGCGTGTGTGTGTGTGCGCGCGCGTGTGTGTGTGTGAGAGAGAGAGAGAAGGGGGGGGGTGGGGTGTAAATATGTTACATTTATTGTATGAGTTGTAGCCTACACATGCGAAATATTCCCATGATTTGTAAACTATATTATCTGAACGCATCTTAATCTGCCACACAATAGGACACTGTCCAACAGTGGATATACACAGAGACGATCTTATTTTCTATAACAAAGTATTCATGCTTTTACTAGTATAGAACTGGATTTATTAGTCGTTCTCTACTTACATTTTTGTGACAAATTGATCCAGAGCATTGCTTGGCAAGGAGGAACCTTTTATGTTGCCAAGTTTCATTCAAATATCATGACTTTGGGAGAACATATGACTGATAATCTTTGTAAATCTGTAAAGAACGCCACTTTTTTTACCTGTTAATGTCTTTACAACTCAAAAAGTATGACAGATATTAAAAATCTGACTGCATGACTAGATTCTGCATTAAAAAATGTACTAGACTGCCAGGTTTCATTTACATATTCCAAAAAATAGGCGAGCTATGACAAATATTGTCTCAAAACGCTCCGGAAACCGCCACATTTTTACCTATAAACGTCTTCATAACAAAAAATAGGATAGCTATGAAAAATCTGAAAGCAGGACTAGATTCTGCACTACAAAATGTACTGGGTTGCCAAGTTTCTTTTAAATACTCGGAGAAATTAGCGAGTTATGACGAATATTGTCTCAAAACTCACCAAAGGACGTCCCATATTTTGGGGTTTTTTCATTATATAAAAGTGTACCAGAAATTAATTGATTAAAAAATCTGTAACTTTTTTGTTTATTCATAGATTTCAAAAATTCAAAAAGTTTCATGCTTTCTGAAGATAAAGCTACAAAATGCACATATTTGCAAACACTTTCTGGCAAAAAAAAGGATTTTCGTGGTCATTGCTACATTTGTGTTTAAAATGATGATCTTTATACTTTCCTGCTGTTTCCTGATCTCCAGACAAACTGTTGAAATGCTCCCCTCGATTTTCAAATCCACGTCGGGACATTAGAGACTGTTCCTCGCTTGCCGTTTATGATACTTCCCAGATATGTAAAGAGAGTTAAATTTCCTCTGTAAGCATGTTATTAATCTTTTTCTTCTTTAACGCCTGTGTTGATCCTCAGAACCTTTGTATTTCCTAGTGGACCTCCTGGCCTTGTTTATATATTGGGTGCATTGAATTGTTTGTGTGCTAGGTGCACTGAATTGTTTTTTGGTAGGTGCACTGAATTGTTTTTGTGTGAATGGACTGTATTGTTTGCGACTTATTGGTGCACTAAATTATTTATTGGGTCACTGAATTGTTTTAGCTGTTTACATGATATATAACTCATTAAGTGCACTGAATTGTTTGTGATTAGGTTGCTGAATTGTTTGCATTATATTAGGTGCAATGGTCTCTATGTGTATGCGAGGCATTGCATTTGAGGGGAAAGGTGGTACCTTGTTGTCATGGGAAGCGCTGCTTGTAGTTTCCTTATTAATGTGCAGATATTTCCCCAAAGAGAAAGCCTATCAGATGTCACTGGGGAACATTGATGTTCACAGCCATAAGGCCATCGCCAATTTTGACCCAGATACTTTTGTTGTAAGTATAACCTTTGTGTACTTTCTTACAGATTCTCTTTCTATGTACTCGTTAAATATAAATAAGTTCTGGAGTATTGCCGTTGTATAATGAGGGAGATATTAAATATAACTGGTGATTAGGAACCGGCTGTGGCTACAGCTTGGTCTGGTTGTGGTATTTGCCTTTTGCATATGTTGTGATGATGGTCTTCAGATAAAATCTAAAAGGGTTCATGGTGTTAATAACTTTTGTAAAGTTCTGTGCTGGATCGATAACAACGTAAAGTTCTGTGCTTGAGAAGTCTTACAACACATTAAGGCCATCTGCGGCTGAGATTTTCCCCATTTTTACCCAGTTTGACCATACATTTTTTCCCCTCCATTTTTGAAACCTACATCCATTTCCTTCAAAGTTTCGAGCGCCCGCTTCAATCAATTATGTTTAGCAGTCTTTTAAAAAAGCTATTTTGCAATTTTGGGTCTTGTTTTTTAAATATTTTCTTCATTTTTTTTCAAATATTTATTTTTCCAACTTCAAATTATATCTTCTCCTTTATTCTTCATCTGAATAGCTTCATTATTTTACACATTGTCCATTCATAGGTAACCTGTGCTGAAATAGACCCTTTGACTATATGTTGCAAAGATGATATATTCATATTAGTCGGACATCAAAGAATAAATTCAAGTAATTATTTATTATTATAAGCACATGGCAACCAAGCAAACGTCCGCCATATTGGATAATTTCATCAGATTTCAAAAGCTATCTTCTCTCTTAGTTTTCGTCCATTGGCTTTCATTTTTAGTAGGTACCACAAACTAAATTTTCAAAGTAGCTGTATGCCAAATTTATCTCTTCCATTTGAAAGGCCTATATCCACTGAGCATTTTGGTACATTCTTTAACCTCTCAGTCAATTTTTAAGAAAGTGGTAGTTTTTAAAATTTGATCAAATTTGTTAAAAGTCAGTCACTGGCTGCAACCCCATGATTGACAGACAATAAAAGAGTACCAAGAGCACTAAACATCTCCACATTAACAGAGTACAATCACTATAACAAATATATGGAGCCTAATTTTTTTCAACACTGAGATCATTACAAATCAGTATTTTATCGCCTCAAACACCATGATCTGTTATTTCGACAAAAACACCAAGCGTTGACCCGGCCGGCGCCGCACCGCGAGCAAGTCGGCTCTATACTGTAGTGTGCGGTGCGGGGTCACATGCTTTCTTCCGAGTCTCGCGGAAGGATTGATAAAAAATAATTCCAAGTTGATTACTTTATTCTAATAGGAAATGAACTGATCTTTTAATTACTATATTTTTTAAGCCGGTATTTTACATATTTTGTGTAAAAAGTGATCTTTAAACATTATGACAGTATTTTTAAAAGCTTTCTATTTAGACGCTAAAGGCCTAATACATACCACGGGAAAGCCCGTTTAAAGCTCTACAGTTCTCTGCCAATGAAAAGACGGTATTTAATCATCCCTCTTTCCGCGAAGCATTTGAATGCACGTGTGTCAATTTTTCAATCAACTGACCACGCCTTCCGACCGCGAGGGGCTTCGCTTTCGTCAGCGATTATCCAGCTCCTAATAATCGGACATAAAAACAACTTACACCATTGTAACGAGGAGCAGCTGAACTTTTACAAGGTGTACGGCATTTGGTGTTTTATAGCGAAAGAGCAAAGAAACAGCGATCGGAATTACCCCGATTTCACCGATACCACACGGTCGGAAGGCCACGAGTGCCCGTGAGGCCGTGTTTTTAGTAAGTACAAAATACAACACCTATGTAATGAACGAATAACGCCAGATTTGTAATATTATGATTAGGAAAATAATTATGGACTCTGGAAATGTGTACATAGATAAATAGCAAAAAAATCTCAAAATTCCCAACAAAAACACTGATTGTAATTTTAATCTTAGATTATCTTCAAAAAGGGCTCTATTTCAGTACAGGTCTCCTATGGATGTATATTGTGTAAAATAATGAAGCTATTCAGATGAAAAATAAAAGAGATGTAATTTAAAGTC